ACAAAGTTTACACAAAGTTTTTCTTGAAATTTGTGCAAAATTTTATATACACTAAGTCAAACATTGCAAAAGTACAGTAAACTTGTCAAAAACACRTTGAAATTGTCATTAAATGTCACATCTACGCAAAAAAAGTTGACAAAAACGTTCAAAATGCTCAAAATTGTGACAGAATTAGCCCCAAAAGATATTCTAAAAACACCGAAATTGTCAAAATATATAAGTCAAATCTTTATAAAACATGTTTAAAATTGCCAAAACACAAACAAAAATTTAACAAAATTGGCAAGTAAAGTATAAATATAAAAAATATCGTTTAAGGAGCTGAGAAAAGTACACAAATTGTCAAAAACATACTTTACAAACATTGAAATTGTCAAAAATACAAGTATTGTCATTTGGCAACTTAGATTATTTTGAAATCATGGACAATACCATCTGTCTGATATCTGTCATCAAACTTCACGTTTCTTGTGGTAGAAGTAGCGTTGTTGTATTTTTTACAATTTTTTTTCTGTTTTTGACACCGCGATTTCCATTGTCAAACTTAAGAAATAAAAAATTTATTAAAATTCAAGGTTTCTAAGAGTTTTTTTCTTCTTTTAAAATTCCGGTAATTTGACATATTTTTGCTTTTCTGATTGTCAAATCTTGACATTTGAAAAAAACTTAGTTTTATTAGTTTTTATATTTAATTTTTTTTTCACACTGAGTTTTGAAACCAATATTGTTACCAAGCTCGGCCCACGCCTCGTCAACATTTACAAAAAATGGCCCATAATAACAGTAAAATAAATAAATAAAATTAGCCTTGATTTTGTGTAGGTACAACAATGTTGTTATTTAACAGACTATGACAAATAAAATCAACATTTGACGTCATTTCAATTGTTATTAACCAAAATGACAATCACCTGACCTGCATTTCATTTTTGACATTTTTATACATATTTTTTTTGTATTGAGATTATAAAATCTCAAAATATGAGAATTTCACTTGTCATGGCCGACTATGCATGCATTTGTTAAACAAATGAAGTGTAGAGAAACAGTTGCATTGTTACTAAGCCAACTTGATCGAATTTTTCTCTCAGCCTACTCTGTTTTGGTGTTGTTTTGTTAAATTTATTGACAATTTCGCAACCGGAATGACCCGTCATTCCATATTCCACGCCATTAATAATAATGACATCATCAATTTCATACTCGAGAGGCATTTTTCACCTGTGATGATATCATCATCGTCGACAACTTTCGAATTTTCAAACTTTATGACAAGTTGTGCAAATATTTTTCTTCTTCTGTCGCAAAAAAAATAAATAATTTCGATAGAAGAAGAATCGTGTCAAGGTGTTAAACATGTACTAAGTAATACGATCTTCGTAAACGATTAACACATTAACCGTGTGGACATTTGCAATTGTAATTTTCGTAATTAAAACACGGAAACGTCGGTTTTGTACCGTTAGGATTGTTGAGAAAGTATTTTTCTCAAGAAAGAACCAATTTGTCAATTTTCTTGTTTTTGAGTTTTATAGCCGAACCGCAGACGAGTGCTGCAACTATATCCCTTTTGTAAAATTTGTAATTTTTTTTGTTTTCAGGCTTCTAGTCATATAACAAGAATATTACCTAACTTCGGTATTTTTAGTCTTGAAATAGTATACTATTCAACTATTCAAATTATTTATAAAAGCGATAAAAATACAAAAATTTTGTAATCTCGTATTTGATAAATTAGTCGAATTTAACTTTTTTAATGCGGAATACTTAAAACGTAAGTTTAAAACTTTTGATTTTTTTAATACAAGACGTTGAAATTTTGGGAGATTTTGCAAATTTGCTCAGGTTTTGTTTTTAATTTTCAAAAACTACCAAATTGTAATGAGATTTTGACGAATATTATTTTGGAATTTTCGGTTTTTGAAACATTATATTGGTCAGAAAAATGTTGAAATTTTGAAACTTTTGACATCTTAAAAAAGAAAATCTTTTTGAATTTTTATTATAAAAAAATGTCGAGATTTTGTCGATTTTTTTAATGTGAAGCTTTATGATTATAACAATTTTTTCTAACAAGAAAATTACCTAACTTTTTATTTTTTAGTCTTGAAATAGTATATTATTCAACGAGTGACAATGTTGGCTATTTCCACGAAGATGAAGGCGAGTGGAAATGGCTATTTCTCACGAGTTTAATACTATACTTTTTCTAATCTTAAATAATGACTAATATTTCATTTTATATTTTCTATCAACCAATTTTTTTTTTCAATTTTTTCCACAGATTGAACTACTTTCTCAACTGAAAATTATGAGAAAAGTACAAATTCTTTAATACGATGAGAAAAACAATTTTTTTTGTACATTTTGGTAACAAAAATTTGTAATATTTGACAAATTAGTCGAATTTCTGAAAAAAAATGAAATATTTATAACTTGATTTTTTTAGTATAAAACATCGGAATTTTAGGAGATTTTGCAAATTCGTTCTGGTTTATTTATTTTTTTCAAATTACTAATATTTTATTTTATATTTTCCATCAACTATTTTTTTAAAATTTTTTCTACAGTTAAAGATTGAACGAACAACTTTCTCAACTGAAAATGTATGAGAAAAGTACATATTTTTTAATATGATTAGAAAAACAATATTTTTTGTACATTTTGGGGACGGAAATGCTAAAATTTTTGTAATTTTTGACAAAAAATTAAATATTTAAAATTTGATTTTTTAGTATAAGATATCGGAATTTTAAGAGATTTCGCAAATTCGTTTTGTTTTTATTTTATTTTATTTTTTTTGAAAATGTCAAGTTTTTTTATAAGAAACCACTAAATTGTAAGGAGATTTTAACGCTTATTTCCTAAATTTTGGAATTTTCGGTTTTGGAAATACTGTTCTGTGTAAATTTTGTTGAAACAAGTGCTGACATTTCATAAATTTGTCGAATTTTGGAACTTTCGACATCTTAGAAGTGAAGATTTTTCGACGACTGAAGAATTTTAAAAGTAAATTTGAGATTCGTGAATTATTATTTTTTGTCATTTTTGAGATTTTGTCATTTTTTTAAAAATCTATTTAAATTATGGAATTATCTCTCTTGCAAACATGGTTTCTGTTGATTTTGGTGATTTTTTAGTAGTATCAAATTTTAAATGATTTGTGATTTTTTTTGTTCCAAAACGTTTGATTTTCGAAAAAAAAAGATGTTTTTGAAGAAATATTCGGATAATATTTTTATAATAAAATTTTTCAATTTATTAAAAAAAATAAATTTGGCATTTTGGAGATATCGGAATTTTAAGGGATTTCGCAAACTCGTTCTGGTTTTATTTATTTTTTTTAAATGTGAAGTTTTCTTCTTGTTTTTGACAAGAAAGAACGAATTTGACAATTTTCTAGTTTTTGAATTTTATAACCGAACCGCAGACGAGTGCCACAACTATATCCCTTTTGCGAAATTTGTCCTTTTTGTTTGTTTTGAGACTGTTATTTTTGACAAGAAAGAACGAATTTGACAATTTTCTTGTTATTGAGTTTTATAACCGAACCGCAGACGAGTGCCGCAAATATATTCCTTTTGTGAAATTTGTTTTTATGTTTGTTTTTTTGTTGTCAGACTGTTGTTTTTGACAAGAAAGAATCAATTTGACAATTTTCTAGTTTTTGAATTTTATAGCCGAACCGCAGACGAGTGACTTAACTATATCTCTTTTGTGAAATTTGTCATTTATGTTTGTTTTGAGACTGTTATTTTTGACAAGAAAGAACCAATTTGACGACAATTTTCTAGTTTTGAATTTTATAACCGAACCGTAGACGAGTGCCGCAACTATATCCTTTTTTTTTTTTGTTTTCAGACTGTTGTACCAAACGAATCGCCAAAAACGAACGGCATCGTTCACGAAGTGCCAAAACCGGCGCCGCGACGCATCTCCACCACTGTTCCCAATAGTAACCGTCAATCGTCGTCGTCGCCGCCTCCACCGCCCTCAAATCACAAGCAAGCGGCGACGCCGCCACCGTCGCTCGTCGACGGCGACGACGCACAGGTACTGCCGAAGCCAATCACCAACGAAGAATTCCAAGCCATGATTCCCGCCCATTTCCTCAAATCAAATAAATCACAAACAACCACAACCAATAATAATAATAATAATCATAATCCTGATACCGTAAATGCCGTTACCGTTACGATTAAGAAGCCAGATCCGATCGAGTTGCCGCCCGCGCCCACTGGGCCCGGACGTGTCACTGAGACCATCACCAAGAGTACCTTTACGGAAACAGTGGTCACTCGCATCACCGATAATCAGCTGATCGTGCCCGTTATTATCGAGGTATGCCCTGGAATACACACGATCAATGATTTTCTACAACCCATTTCCAAAAAACAAATTTAATCTTTGCACCATTTCACACGAGGTTAAGGTTTGCTGCTTTCACTTTTCTTTTTTTTTTTTTTTTTTTCGTATTTTTTGTTTAGTTTTCTTTTTTTTTTCTAACTCTGGATTAAGGGTAATAAAGTTGGCTATGGCGCATGTGGGTACTTTATCGTGTAATTGACAGAAGGAAAGAAAAACAAGACAGTACTTAAAATAACAAAAACAAAGCGGCAAAAAAATTAAAAAATCTAAAAGAAATAAAAATTAATAAAACAAATGAAAGAATCAATTTTCTATTTTTAAAATAATGATACTAATGATACTAATACAAATAAAAAAAATAAAGCGACAAAAAAAAATGAAAAAATCGATTAAGAAATAAACGGAAAAAAATCGATTTTCTATTTTTAAAACAATTATGTGTTGATATTAAAAAAATAAAGTTGGTTTGTTTTATTTTTGACATTTACTGGACATTGATCTCGCTACCAAACTTTAAAAAATGATAGAAATAATTTGGAGTAAAAGAAAAATAAGGGAAGTGACATAACAATAATTGATATATCTACATAAAAAAATAACAAAACGATGGAGAAATAAAAAAATAAAACTGTTTTCGAACAAATGGTGTAATTTGTACAAATTTTTATGTAAATTAAGTCAAACGTAGCAAAAATCCAGTTAAATTTATTAAAACATACTCTAAAGACAATGAAATTGTCAAAAACACAAGTATTGTTGTTAAATGTTATGGAACACAAGTCAAATCTAGGCAAATAAGTTGACTAAAAAGTTAAAAATGCTTAAAATTGTCAAAAACAAACAAGTATTTGACCGAATTGTACAGTAACGTACTCAAAATATCACAAAAGATGCTTAAAATTACATTGAAATTGTCAAAAACACAACTTCGAACATGTAGTGTAATTTTTTTTAAATTTCATGTAAACTAGGTGAAACAGTAGTAAAATTGGCAAAAACATTCTAAAAACTATGAAATTGTCAAATACAGGTATGCTATATAAATTGACACATAAAAATAACACTCGAGTGTCAAAAACATTTCCAAAATTGACAAAAACAAACTGAAGTTAGACACTTTTGTTATTTAACGACAAAGCTGTTCTCGAACAAGTGTTGTGATTTATACAAAATTTTAAATAAATAAGTAAATAAGTCAAACATAGCAAAAATACAGTGAAAAATGCTTAAAATTGTCAAAAACAAACAAGAATTTAACCGAGTTGTCGAGTAACGTTCTCAAAACATCACAAAAGATGCTTAAAATGACATAGAGATTGTCAAAAACACAACTTTTTTCAATCTGACAGCAAAACTATGTTCGAACTTGTGGCTTAATTTTATATAAACTAGGTGAAACAGTAGTAAAATTGGCAAAAACCTTCTAAAAACAATGAAATTGTCAAATACAGGTATGTTATATAAATTGACAAAAGTAACACTCGAGTGTCAAAAACATCTCCAAAATTGTCAAAAACAAACAGAAGTTAGACACTTTTGTTATTTAACGACAAAGCTGTTCGACAAGTGTTGTGATTTATACAAAATTTTATGTAAATTAAGTCAAACATAGCAAAAGTACAGTCGAATTTGCAAAAACATACTCTAAAAACAATGAAATTGTCAAAAACGTAAGTATTGTCGTTAAATGTCATAAAATGTAAGTCAAATCGTCGCAATGTAGTTGGCAAAACTATTCATAAGTAGCACTCTATTGTCAGAAACATTCTCAAAATTGTCAAAAACAAATAGAAATTGGACAGAATTAGCGAGTAAAGTATTCAAAATACTATAAAAGATATACTAAAAACACTGAAATTATCAAAAACACAAATACTGTTATCTAATTTAGGTCAAATGTTGTCGAAAACAGGTCTAAAATTGTCAAAAACGAAAAAAAAAAACGGCGAGTAAAGTATTCAGAATATCGTTAAATGAGCTGAGAAAAGCACACAGATTGTCAAAAACATATTTTACAAACGCGGATATTGTCAAAAACACAAGTATTGTCATTTATTATTATCTTGAAATAATAGACAAATTTGAGCACAATACCATGTGATATCTATCATCCAACTTGTGATATAAGTAGCGTTGTCATGTTTTTGACACTACGATTTTCATTGTCATTCTTAAAAAATAAAAAATTGATCAAAATGTAAAGTTGTTAACAGTCATTTTTTTCTTTTTTTTAAATTTTGGGAATTTGACATTTTTTGGTTTCTTTCATTTTTGACATGTACTTGTCATTGATTGTTTCTAAGAGACGTTTTACGATCTTATTGTATGTTTTTGCATTTTAGCAAAATAAAAACGTGTTTTGTGTAATATAGAAATAATTTGGAGTAAAAGAAAAAAATAAAAGAGAAGTAATATAACAATAGTTGATATGAATACATAAAAAAGTACAAAACGTAGAAATAAAAAATAAATTAACAAAAAATGGATGGTTTCTGTGTTTTATTGTTGACATTTACGGGTCATTGACCCGCTACCAACCTTGCAAAAGTGAATATCTCTGATATTATTATGATCAAAATATGAAGAAGGAAATCACAATGAAATAAAAAAAATTCTGCGAATAATTTTGACAAAATTGAAGCGTGTCTATTTATTATTTACTTTTTTATTTTGTTGGTAGAGCGTGTCGCCACAATGTCAGAGATCTTGGGATTTTTTTGTTGTTTGTACAGGTTTTGGAATGCATTCATTAATGTGGATTCCGATTTAATTGTTAATAAAATTCAAGGTTGTTCTAAAAATAAATTTCGTTGAAAATATTTATTTTGCGTAAGAATGCACGTAGATTGACTAAATATTATTAAATTTGTTCGACGATGGCTATATTAAATATTTATTGTTTGACAATTTAGAAAGTTTATTTAAAAAAAAATGTGTATCTGACTGTATTTTTTTACAAAAAAATGTTGTGCAAGGCGTAGGCCTAATCTTAGGTCAAGTGCGATTAAAATGATTCAGAAAGAATTTTGCTCGAATAAATCAGAAAAATAATTAAGTGAAAAATGACTCACGTTTCAATTATTTATTGCTTTGAGGAAATGATTACAATCTAGTCAAATACCACTTGATGTTGATCGTTAAAAAACACTTTCTCTTATCTATTAATGGAAGCATTTTTTTGGAATTATAAATAAATGTAGGATGAAGTATTAAATCAAAAATTTGTTTTTGACAATGATTTTCAAAAATTTAACAAGTGAAATTGCAAATTTAGTTTTTTCGAAGCCAATGAGGGGAAACAAATTTAAATTTAAAAATTTAGTTTTTATTTTTTATACTAGAACGATTTATAATTTCAAAATTTTATTACAAATTGTCCAAATATTGACAATTTGCTGGTAACAGTAATTTTTTATCGCCAACTGAGAACACAATTTTCAATGCAGGAAAGTTCGTAATTTTTCGATAATAAACTGGGAAAAAAATTGAATTTCTCAAAGCCAATTGAGAAAACAAATTTAAATTTATGAAAACTTTAATTTACGCTTTTTTGTGGAGCCCACTGAGAACTAAATTGACGAAATTGTCCCCTACTAACTTTAATTTTTCGTGGCCAATTGGAAAAATAAATTTAAATTCTTCAAGAATTGAATTGAAACACTTTTTTATGGCCTATCGGTGAGGTTTTTGCATAATCTTGAATTTGATTGGTTGGACACATTTGGTAATTTATTGGTCGAACTAGAAGGGCCAATGACAATCGCGTAATTACCACTATCGTGAGAACAAACCGGTTTTTATTTCTTATTGGCCAAAATCCGACAAAAACCTAGCAACGATAAGTAACTCCACCCAATTAAAAAATCGTGAATAATTATTGAATTCTGAATCGAATTTTTATAACAAATCAGCGTCTAGTGTGAGTTATCTTACTTTAATTGGATTTAATTTTGCACAATGGGTGGAGCCAACCCCTAAACCAATATGAATCATGCACCTTCGATTATTAGACCAATAAAAAGTAAAGAATTATTAAATGCGTTAAAGTTGTCATTGCTCGATCGTTAGCCAATTAGGACTTTTAAAATAGACCAATCAAAACACGATTTAGATTATTGGACGAGAAAAATAATAAAATAATTAAGATGTTTATTTTATTTTCAATAGGTATAAAAAATTATTTTTTCAAGAATAAACGTTAATTAATTTTCTTTACTGTCAAATGTTCTAACCGTCAAAATTTGACAAACTGTCAATATCTTAAAAACTATAGACCATATTTCAAGCGTTTTTACGACTTTTACTAAATTGACTATTTTTACGATTTTGCTACTAATTTTTTGAAAAACTCAAAAAATTGTTTTTTTTTTAAACTCGACCCAATAACGTTTTATGCATTTTTTTGAGTGTTTAAGACCTCTATACATGTAAAAAACGTTATATGGATGAATTTTAAGATTAAATTTTTTTTGATTTTCGTCGAAATTTTAGTCGATTTTTGGCACCCGGAGCGGTCTATTGCCAATAACTCCGGACTTATTGGTAATAGCCTCTTATGTTTGGTACCGTTTGAAAGCAAATTTAATTTTCTATCATATAAAAAAAAAAGATCAGTGTTCTAGGATAAATAGTTATCGAGAAAATTTGTGATAAAGTCAAAAATATGGAAAATTTAAATCCGACCATAACTTCAAAACTATTAGGAATTTTGCAGTTTTTTTGAC